AATGACACAAGACACTGGGTGTAACACTCTTTGTAATACTTTAAGATATAAACAAAATTAAAAGGGAAATAAAAAATAAAACTTAAAAAAACACACAAAAAAGAAACATCAATGATGAGAATCATTAATTGGCTGCTTTCTGCACGCCCCCACACTGAGAATTGAGCCTGCAACCTGGGCATGTGCCCTTGACCGGAATCAATCTGGGGACCTTTCAGTCTACTGGTTGACACTCTATCCACTGAACCAAACCGGCTAGGGCAGGATTTCCTCTTACAGGGCCTGCACACGGACTTACTCTTGGACTCACTGACTCTGAGCTCTAGCACCAGGGCATCAGCTGGACAGACAGGGAGAAACTGAATTGTCTGTCTGTCATCAGAGCCACAGCTGGCAGGGCAGCTTTCTGTCAGAGAAAAGTGCTGCTAGAGTCCATTGTTCATTTCTGAGACCTTCCCACAAAGCCAGCAAGCACACACCATATGGGTCTCCATCAACCTGGTTAACACTGTAGCTTCGACCTACTGACTGCTGGAGAACTTGTCCCACCCAACTTGGGGGCCCGGCCAAGCTGTTTTGCTGTGTTTCGTGGCTTTTCCATAAAAATGGCCTCTTTTTCCTCATGCTTCAGACGTTCCCCAAATCCCCCAAACAAGCAGCACTTGGCTTTCATGTGCCCCGTACGTCACACTTAAGTGGCTTGAGGCTTGGCTTTGGTGGCAACTAGTTTTGGATGGCAGCTGGACCTCTCCTGGGCAACTCCAAGCTAAACACAAGCAGCAGCCATTGCCCAGCTGGTGTAGCTCAGTGGTTGACCACTGACCCATGGACCAAGAGGTCGCTGGTCCAATTCCCACTCAGGGCACATGCCTGGACTGCAGGCTCCATACACAGTAGGGGGCGTGCAGGAGGCAGCTAATCAATGATGTTTCTATCTATCTCCTTTCCTCTCTCTCTAAAATCAATAAAAACATAGTTAACAAGAATAAAAGAAATATCCATTTGCAGGTCCCTCTATAGCTCATATCAAGTGGCCCCAGGAAGACACAGGTGGTGACTGACCTTGGCCCACACCTCCTGGAAGGCCCCAGAGCCAGTCCATTCGTTCCATAGCTTCATACCCCCACCTCCCCCCCCCCC